TTCCTGCTTCTGTCATAGCTGAGTTGCTGTTGAAATAGAGATCTTGAGTTTCACCAGGATGAAAATACTTATTTTAAAATGGTGTGGAGTTGAAAGGCTGTATCTTACGACTTTGTTTTCCATTCTTGTAATGAGTGTTGGCCAGTTCCTTCTGCATAGTATCTAATCCTGTCTATGCCTGAATTTACCCTCAGCAGCTTAGTTTGTGTCTGTGTGCATCAGGAGATATATTCCATTTGCTCTCAAAACCAGTGTAAACTAGATCTAGCCTTTGCCTTTCTTGGCATCAGAATTTAGTAAGCAGCTTCTGTGACAAAATTCTGCTGAAAAGACTTACTAAGCAAAATCATAATGTACATCAAATGCCTTACAATATGAACGTTTCTCTCCAGAAATTTGCTTGTAATGGTACTGTGATTGAACATCCTGAATACGGTGAAGTTATCCAGCTTCAAGGTGACCAGAGGAAGAACATTTGCCAATTCCTCTTGGAGGTGAGGGACAGCAGATAAATATCTAAGCCTCTCTGGAAGCAATGCAGTGACAGGTGGCACTGATGTTAATTAAGCAGCAAAAGATGTCCACTATAGTTCCTTTGTATTTTCAGCCCAAAAGTAAAATGACGCTTGCAGAATGAGAGTAAAACTCCGGTAAGAATCAAAGCACTGTAGAATGCATGTACCCTGCTAGAACATACCCCTTGTACTCTGGCAGTGCAACTTGAGTTCTTCATTCGTAAAATCAAGTTGATGCAAACTGTAATTTTGAGACTGAAAACGCTATAGAGGAAAGAGTCACCACTAGGTTACTGATGCAAATCATGATGTAGAGATGTTACACCGTCAAAGAATAAGTGCTAGGACTACAGAACAAGTCAGATGTCTGATAAGATTTTCTTTTTTGTGTGGTCAATTCTTCTGCTTGGCCCAGAAACATTCTGGAAACTAGAAAACTGCTTTATTGAGTGCATACTGTATTGCAGTTTCTTTAGTCAAAATATAAGATTGTGGTAGCTTGATATCACTGTAATATCCTAAGCATGTAAGCTTTATTGAAATATGTTGCTTTTCTCCTTTAGATTGGCATTGTCAAGGAAGAACAACTGAAAGTTCATGGTTTCTAAAATACCTGTACTCTCATGAAGAACCCTGCAGTATTTGGTCTTACCTAGCCTGGCTCTTCTGTGAAAAATGAATCTTTGCAGTGAATGGACTTCCCTGTTACCTGAACATTTAAAATTTGATTCAGATTTGCATGACTGCGTGAAACGTATGGTGTGTAGACTAGAAACACATAAGAAAACTTCAGTAAGGTGGTAATGAAGACACTTGTGAACTTTAACACATTTCCAATGGAAATGTTTTAGTGATGATTGTTCAGTTTACTATTCTCTACCTGACTTAAATTTGTGAGTTGTATTAAAATAGTGTGTTGTTGCTTAGAAATAAAAGTTTATTCATATATTTTCTGGGATATCTGAAATGCTTTAGCTTAAGTTTTAAACTAGCACAGCAGCCTTACTAAAGAATGGCTAAAATGTTTTGTGGCAAGTGTAGCTCACTGCTCATTGAATAAATTGGAAAATCTACATGATGAAGTATTAGCTAATTAATTAGTAGATTAGCTTGATGTGATCTTATCCTGTAGCTGTAAGACTAGAACTTTGAAGTCTTTCGTGTAAGTGTATCTTAGTAGCAGCATGATAAGACATAAATTGTTTGCTGGGTAAGTAACTGGATCTTCTCTAAAATTTACTGCAGTGACTATGAAATATTAGTGTTAAGCATAGTAGGACTAAAATAAGCTGAATTCCTTAAGGTTTCTATTACTGAGAACATGTTAAACATCTAGGTCTTACATAGTACTCCCAAAACATTTGAAGGAAGTTCATGGGATTTTTTATCTCTTCTGTCACTGAGTGAAGGGGAAAGACAGTGAGTTGGCTTCTGCCATGACTGTACATTTGATGTTGGCAAGCAGGGTGCTTTAATTAGCTGGTAGTGTTAGCTGCGGAAGTAAGGAAGGGAACAGGCGCTACACTAACCTTTTTTTTTCCTTGTGTGAAAAGTTTTGCTGTGACTAATGGTTAATATGGAGGGTTTTGTAATGAGGTTTGGGTGTTACTGCAGAAAGTTGATTTAGTCTACTTTTCTAGCAGGCAATTCATTCACTGTGGTCTGAAGTTATAATAGGTTTGTTCTGCCACGCTTTTAATCTAGCTTTAGTTAGCTGTAGGCATTTGGTATTCTGCTTTTAAGACATGTCTCTTTACAGAATGAAATTACTTCATTTGGTGAAACGTGCAGATCTCATCTTCCTTGTGAGATATACATGGAAATTTTCTCTGAAACAATTCAAAACATGCTGAGCTGGGAAACCATAAGAATAGTGGGAAAAGTTAAAAAAGCTGCTTATAATTTCATGTATTCTCTGGAAAGGAAGAAAGAGACATTTCTTTACTGCTAAGACTTATTAATAAATTAATTAGAAAAAAAGAACTGATGACTACCTATGTAAACATCAAGAATAGACAAAACTATATTACTTAATATCACTTGTGCCTATACTTTGTTTCCTGTTCAGACTTGCTAAACAGACATGCTCAATTTTGACTCACTTGAACCTTTTTTTTTTAAGATTTCTGAATTTATATATGAATGGCACTTTATGGCACTAACAACAATTAGGGGAGCATTATAGAGCATTCATATGACAATTTCTTTCTCTGTCTGGTCTAGACAATTCCACGTGTAAGAATCCAGTGTCCAGTCTCTCAATCGCCACAAATTCTGCCTGCTGTTACAGATCTTAACTGTTCCAGAAAAAAGATGTTCCAGAAGATTGTATACTGTTAAGGTATAATGTGTTCAGGAGGAGGAGGAGGGAAAGCCTGCTGCAAAACACGAAATACCAGCACGCAGAACGGAAGTCCAAAGAATAAGTCTTATGCAAGTTGTGCACATTAGCAGAATAAAATCATTGTACTGCAAGTTTACCTAGTCCTGATTCATAGATGCTAAAGTAATCAATCCTTTGGGGGTACATAGCACTTCGTGATTTTCATTTTATCAAATGCCAGGAAAAGTGACATTCTGATTTAAGCTTGTTCTCCTGCCCAAGAGGAAAAACAAGCAGTATCTTCTCCTATTTCACTGGTATTACATGAGTACTTCTGGTGGGTTTTTGAATTGGAGATTAACAAATGATTGGCAAGTCTCATGTGTTACTGAGTCAGTCTTCATTTCAGATGGCATTCCATTAACTTTTACTACCTAAGCTTGAGTCATTTCTCCATAGTCATTCTGCTTGGAATAAATAAGACAAAACTTTGTTTTCTTCCTCCTCATTTAAAAGTCCTTTCTGATAGGAGGAACCTTGCAATTGATAGGTTGGTTTTTATGCTCTAGTGGAGCTGCTTGTGTTTTGACCTTTGAAGGGCAAAATTAAAAGGAGAGGGAATAAAAAGTAACACATTTGAAGTTTAAGTAGATGAGATTTGTTGTAGCAACAAATGATTTAATCTTTCTAGAAGGAAAGCAGAAATTTTTGTCCTTGGAGTGTTTTAAACTAGAACAGTGTCTTGATAAGATTGTAACAAGCCTTGTTAGAAGCCCAAGCCTCTTTGCATGTTCTAGAGGAAAGGCTTCAACAATTTCATGTTTTATTATCTTACGCTGAAACTTCTTTGTCAAAGCTCAGCCTATTTGGAATATATATCCATGTTTCAAGAATGCTGATAAACATGAAAGACTTTGGGAAAGAACTGTTTAAATTACTGCCATGAAAACCTGTTTTCACAGTGAAGGTAGGTTTCAGTCTTTCCATCTATTCCAAAATAGGTTAAAAAATGGTAAAGGATGTGGCCGATAATTGTCGAGGCAGTAAAAGGGAGCTAATAATAGAAAACACTTTTAAAACCCACTAGTAGAACTTGAGACTGGGCAAGCTCAGGCTGCAAAGAGTGGTGGCTTCTTTTTGTTGGAATATTGTGAAGTCTGTGTCTTTCAGATCTCCAAATCAAGATTGCCACCTTAGTGATATCTAGGCTTAACCACAAGCTGCAACTGGATGTAGGAACTGCTGTTTCAAATTCACAGCCTTGCTGCACATAGGCTGTTGTAGCTGATTCTTTTAGCTGATATACTAAGCTGTTGCATAAATAAATTCATTTAATTGTCCATTCAGAGCCTACATCTACCTAATGAACAATGAAACCATCACTTCCCAAATGGTGGCAGCAGTCCTTACTTGTAGAAGATGAGATTTAGTAATTAAAGTCTGTAAGCTGCCTACTTCCCCTTGTTGTATGAATTATCAGACCCTTGACCTTCACCTGTGGTCTGCTAAATCTGACTGTGTGTTTCAGAGATGAGCATGAAGAGCACAACTATGGGTAGGTGAGCAATAATTTTCTCAAGTGAAAGAATAGTGCCTAGATTGTGTGTGCATACTATTCATTGGTTCAGTGGCTTTGCTTAAACCTTACTTCCTGCACTACATTCTTGCACAGCCTAAATGAAAAGCATTTTATTCTGGAGAACTTTTTTGGAGAGGGAGGAGGGAACCTCACAAAAAAAACACCTTAGGAAATAAGTTTATATCTTAAGTCTGTTTTCATTAACTTAGAATTCACCTGGACTGCAAGACCTCTGTAACATTATTATTTCTGTTTCTGTATCTTTAAAAATCCTCATTAAACTTCCTTGAGAGCTTGGCATTTAAGGTTCTAAATATATCTAAAGCCATTATAAAACTTAAAATTGTGAAGAGTTGTTGAAGCTTAAGTTTTAAATATTTGAAAAAATAATAATTAAGCAGAGCTCTGCATTTTGTCCTATTCTGCCATCCTGCTTATAATCGGTATGCAGTTGCCCTAAAGATGCATACGGACGGATGTACCTGGAGTTCCAGTCAGCAGTTATCTTTTCCTTAATCCTTCTGGAAGGCTCTAGTGTTACAGGATCCTTGTGTTACACCCTTGCTTAAAGTGGCTCAGTAGTTCCTCTTACTATGTGAATGTACGTACAAGATTGGTATTTAGCCAGTTAAAGAATGCGGGAGGCCTTTTTATAGCTTACTTTGGGACACAGTAGGGGTTACTGTCACTTTTGGTGTATTCAGTATTGATAAGTGTCACTGAGTGTTCCTCTAATTAGTGTGCTACTGCCACTAGGGAAATAGAAGTGGTCTTAGAGGGTCATGTGTATTTAAGTATTAAGAATCTGCCTTCCTCCTAAGACTCTCCGTACATCTCTACTCAGTTTAGTTAGGAACGTGTCCCCCATGTGCAGCAACATGAAGGTTACTTTCCAGTTGCAAGACCAAAAGCTCTTGAGATGGATAAGGGAAAAATGACATCGTTTTATGTTTGCTGTACAGATGCTTCATGTCTACTGTTTCCAGTTTACATTTAAAAAAAAAAAAATCTCAAAAGAGGATTTGTACCTGGCATGCCTTTTTAATGTTTGCTACATGCCTGTGATTGATCTCCTTAGGAACAAGTCTTAACCTGTATGGGAGTATTGCTAGAGAGTTGAGCCAACAAAGTCTTTTGAAATAAAATGTACCAATGTTATTTTATGTATGCTTTTTTAAAACAAATGGACTTCTATGCTATTATTAAGGAGGATTATTTTTTTTGGTGGAAGATAGAAGTAGTGTAATTCAATAGTGATGTATGTGATCTTCTTGTAATCAGCTTTGATTTCTTCAAGAAATGTTATATTTCCTCCTATAAATTTCTACCGTAATCTGTACTAACCAACTTAAAAATATTGTGATTTGTACTGGGATATCATAGCTCTAAAACAAGATGATGATATTGGCTTGAGGTCTAAAATTTTGAGTAGAAGAGGATCGTCTAATTTCTTGAATAAGCAAAATGCACAAAAGTGGTTTAAGATGAAGCTAGTAACGTGTGCTCAAGTTTGGTCTCCGCTATTTTAGAATGTCTTGCGCCTGTGAAATGTGACAGCACATTTCTGAAATTAATTTGGGGTCTGATTAAAAGTACTTGTGTATATAATAAATGCTTTTTTTTTTCATTTTAAGCCATTTTTGCCATGATTATGCAGCAAAAAAAACCATGATCTGGATGCAGCTCTCCAAGTTATGAGTAGCTGAATTCTGCAGACATGGTTGGAAGTAGACTGATCATGCTCCTCAAAGACAGGATTTAGCTGTTCCTCTCACAGTTAGAGAGGGAAACAGCACTGTTCCTGCAGTAGATGGACAAGCCTTGGCTATCATCATGGGACAGCTAACCCCATGAAAGAGGTGGCACTGCAGTTGTTTCAGTACCCTGTCCCCCACGTGAACTGGAAGGTAGACCCAGCAAATGACATGAATGCATTGATGTGTAAGCAGAGAATAGTTCTGCAGCAGAAGGGTTAAAAATGGTCTGTTCCCAAGAGTCCTGCTGGAAAAATCTACTAGAAGGGCAGCCCCTGTTGTAGAAGAAGC